TGAATGAATGATGCATTTATATAGCGCTTTATTGTGTATTGTTGTACACCCAAAGCGCTTTACAATCATGTGGGGTGGGGTGGGGGGGTCTCTCCTCAACCACCACCAGTGTGCAGCATCCAGCTGGATGATGCGACGGCAGCCACTGTACAATGGCACCAGTGCGCTCACCACACATCAGCTACAGGTGGAGAGGAGAGAGAGTCATAGAGCCAATCAAGTGGTTGGGGATTATTAGGAGGCCATGATTGACAAAGACCAGAGGGGCAATTTGGCCAGGACACGGGGTTACACCCCTACTCTTTACGAGAAGTGCCATGGGATTTTTAATGACCACAGAGAGTCAGGACCTCGGTTTAACGTCTCATCCGAAAGACGGAACAAGAGTACACAACAACACAAACTACAAAACTGAGATAGCGTCAGTGGTTTTCTAAGCACTGCCTCAGAAGATCCAGACCAATCCAGAGCTCAAGTCATCAAGCCGGGTGCTTTGATAAATGTGGTGATATGCAAGAAGCGACGTGAATGCTCCTGTGAGCAGAATATAATGAGAGTGACTCCGGGCCCCTTGGACAAGGGAAATGTTAGGGAGGAATATCCGGCCGTTCTGTTGGCAAGTGTTCTGTCTTATTAACGTGACCTTCTTTTCTCCCCTGAGAGTTTGGCGTGACATTTAAAAAACTGAATAAGGACTTACGTTCACTGCGCCTTGTGAATATATGACGTTCACTGATCTACAAAATGTCTGAAACTCTTATCTGATGATGACGACATGTGACATCTACACTTTCTTAGTGCTTGCTTTATACAACAAAGAAAGGAATCAATCTTTCTACAATGAAGTTTTCAGATATAAATTAGTCAAAAATGCAGGTGTTCTTCATACACTCAAATATGTTTAAATGCACATACACACAAAATCAGTAAGTTTTTAAAAGCTACACGCCCTGAACCCACTAATCTCTGATTCCAGTTCCATGGCTTGGAATGTTTGGAATGACAGGAAGTCTGCTTAGAGGGGGAGGAACACGGCGCTGATGCCCCAGAAGACCTGTTAAAGTTCTGGCTCCAAACAGAGCAATGAGATAGCAGGAGTCTTGGATGGCTTCCCTCTTATCAACAATGCTAGTTCTACGTACAAACAAACAGGAAGGTATGTCTTTGACTTGTACATTAGGCTAAAAGAATCGTGATCAGGACGACTGTACCACTTACTGTCTAGATGAAAGTGAAAAAGACGTGTATTGTGTGTGCATGTATCACACTGTGTACACATTGATTGTGTGCATTAGCCAAAAAAAGATAAAGCCTTTCATGTGCACCTGTTTCCTGAGGTGTCTCACCCCTGACCCCTGTCACAGTCAGGAACTTATTAAGTAAACCCTTCAGAGACACAGTAGTAAAAGAAAGCCAAACAAAATCTACACCCTGTCTGCTCAGTCTTTTGACTTTCACAGAATCTTGAACCAACTGTTAATGCCTCAAATGAAGTCAAGTGTGGTAAGCAGAACTACTGTAAAAGCTTCAAGTTAATCTTTTAATGGGTATGAAATTAGCACTAGTGCTTCTGTTATTATTTTTAAATCTAATGAGAAAAGCAAATTATTATTTTAATGATGTTTTGGTCATTTCACTACTTTGCCCACAAACATGCCAAAGCTGGTTTCATGGTTTTGTTCTCTTCATTGCTCCTTTAGACACCTCCAAAATTTCTATTAGTATGCTGCATCAGTAACAAGACATCTGCACATCAAATCTAAAAATTGAAATAAGACAATTAAATCATATCTGAGAAGAGGCCCATTATTATTTTTTACTAAAATATTTTTGACAAAACATTGTCACGTTGGCACATGCAAAAAAGAAAGCATGTGTAGATGCTCAAAAAAAGCAAATGTTTCGGTTCATTGAACTTTCCTCAGTGCTTTGAGCCTCTTGTCTCCATGATTTGTCTGTTTCTTTTTTTTTTTTTTTGGTGTGCAGATTCTATGTTACTTGTTTTGCATCAATGTACCCAGTGAACCTGTCTGATATTGGCACAGAAAAGTTTATTTCTTCACATTAACATTCTGGCAAATGTAAACATAGTTCTAAAGTTATTAATTAATTTGACCCATGCACTTGGTAGACACTTTTATGCGACGCAACTTGCAGTCAATTCAGGCCACAAATTTTTAATCAGTATGTTCACTGGGAATCTAATTGACTAGTATTAGCATAATGATCAATGAATCAGTTAATCAGTGCAGGAACTCTTTAAATTCATAAAACATAACTTGTGAATTAGTCAGTTTACAGTACTCATACATTCACTTAGCTTAGATTTACCACTGTTGAGTTCACTATAGACATAATCACAGCAAGATGCAGCTTGCATTATTAAGACAGTTGAGCAGAAAATTACTTTACATGTTTTTCTTTTGAATTCCTCTTCTTTAACATCTGATTTTATGATAGTACTTGTCCTTTATTATCTTCCCTCTTGCCTGCCTCTTGTAATTTCCTTTTATATAAGCTGACAATTCTGTCTTGTTTATAAACTATTGTCAGAAATCACTGACAGTTTATACAGGGCCGCTCTTCTGCTCTAACAATAGGCTAAGGGAAATGGGAGGATACAGAGGAATCAAAAACTCAAAGAAAAAAAAAAAACTCATGAAAGCATTACAACTGGAACTTTTACTGATTAAAAATGGAATTACAAAGTTGTCTAATGCTGTTCAGTCATGATGTCAATTTGTAGGCCAGCCCAAAAGATTAATTCACCACGGATTCTTAAGGGAATTTCTAATGGGTTTCAATATTCACATTTGACTCTGTGTAATTTATTTTGTAGAACAAAACAGGAAGGTCTCTTCATGTAATGTTAACCACAGACATAATTTTATTCATAAATCAAAAACCCTTAGACATTCCAGAGGGAACCCATTGCTCTAAAATGCTAATTCTTCTCTTTGCAGAAAATGCAAGTACTTTATTCAGATGTGAAGAGAACTGCAGCAGATGCATGTCTGTTAGCAATCTCCTGGCAATGGATTTGTAGGTGTGGGGGTTTTGTGTAATTTAGGGCGTCTCTTGTTCCACATTTGATCCTTCTGTGTAGATTCTAACAATAAAAAAGGAAACATCTGCACAACTAAGATTCTCTTTCAACACGTTTACATCTTCCGGCATTTTCACGTTTGAGACGATCACAGATGACCCTTCCTAATTTTAGTTAATACAGTGTAACACAAACGTGTGTACCTGACACTAACATTCATTTAGCCTGCTTCACTTCAATGATATGATGCTCTTTTATGTCAAAGGCATAGTCTACATGATGTATGTATATTGTCAATATCATAATTTCAATCACACTCTAATATGGTGTTTCGAGCAGATGTTTCAGCTCATTGCTATTTTAGTCCAGTGCCTGTATTACCTAAACTTGTGCATGTCTGCGCATGCTTCATATGGTCTGTGTTGCTGCATGTTGACATATTTTTTTTTTTAATGTATTGACAGCCCTGGTTTAAATATGCATGATTTAAATAATTACATTTAATTGTGATTTTTACTTAGAGAATCTTCAGTGTGTGCTCTCTGTGATATAGAGAGGGTTCTTTTAGGTGATTATTGCCGAATGACTGATGCATCATACAGCAGATTTATGTAAGTGTTTGTAAAATAAGTAGCTAAAATGCAACTTGATATTTCCTTGGGAAGCATTCTGTTTCAGGTTCCTGTTGACAGTTTTTTTTACATCAGGCTTTATTGACACAGTGGCACAGAGTGGTTGAGGCAGGTGACAACCAGACAAACCCACATCTTAGCACAGTATCCATCATCGTAATATAGACCAAATGAGACAGATAAGGTTTTGTGTGAGAAATTGAATGTTTTTCAGTCAGTTTATTTAGGAAGGATTACTATATTGATCATATATTGTTGTTTTGATTCAGGATAGCATGTTAAAGTGGGTAGCTGGTGGTGTTCTGCAAATAAGGTGGCACTTTAAAATGTTTAGCACTTGGTCTTTGCTTTGAGTCTCAAGTGTTTGTGACAAATGCTTTGAGCAACGTTATGAAATATTTATTTGACACGTTCTGGTATCAACTAGAGAAATTATATATTATTCATAGTTTAATTCATACAAATCTGTTCATTTGCAAAACTGAAAAGATCAAACCAGCAAGGTCAAATTCTATCTTACACCAAACATTTTAATTTCAATTTTTGATACCTTTAATTTTTAAATTCATACTATTTTTCTATCTCGAAATTGCATGCAGCTTTATCAAGTTTTTATTTTTTCAGTAATTACATTTTAGGTAGGATATATTTCTGCTGTTGACTTTCAGACTTTTAACTTGTTAACTTTCAAAAACGTCACTCTTCTCTCGTCTCTCTTTGCAGTTGCAAGCCTTATAAATAATGAATGAGCGAATGTGTATGACCAAATATAAATAAGATACATATTTAATTTATTTTAAAAAATATGATCAAATTTTAATATTGGCCATTTATCAGTTACCAGCCATTACATGAAAATGATTATCATCTTGTCAGTTTTAAGAAAACCTCCAATAAATGAATAAAACATTTTATATACCTTTTAAAAATGGTGGTGCTCCCAGTACACAACCAAGTTTAGCTGAAAGATCTACTTCCATGTCAGAGCTTACCTTCATGAGTTCCTTCTGGAAAGACTTCCTCTCCTTGCCCTCAGCTGCGTTGCAGTCTTCCTTGAGCTTCTCAAGAACAGAAGCCACTTTTTCAGGCTCACTTTCTGCCTCTGTCCGACAGAAATGTGTCAGAGGCAGATTTACGTAGTCCAAAGCGTCAGCAAACACTCTCCAACTCGCCACGTTTTCCATCAGTATTGTCCGCACAGATGCATAGACATACGTCAGACACATGCAGGGCTTTAGGATCTGCTCTAAAAGGATTGTAGTTGTAAGATCAGGCCCTTTGAAATTAACAGGTTTAACTTTTCCCATGATTAGAATGTTTTTTGCATGCACCAACCCAATTCTTCCATTGTAGTATCCGATGTACCACTCTTTGGTCCATAGATGTCCTTTAAGTTTTATTTTTTCTTCACTCAAAAGGGCCACTACATCGCCTTTAAGATACTCTAGCAAATACAGACCTTTGGACTGTCTTACAACAGTTTTCAGAAACTTAGCAAATTTTTGGTTTTTGACTAGTCTGTCCTGAAACACAGGGCACTTTGCGGTCGCTGCAAGAGGAGACAGTATGATTTTGTTCACTTCCTTTTTCTTGAGGAAGCGCCTTTGAACGGAGCTTCTTGTGCTTGTTTTTGGTGGTGGGGTTGGGGTCTGAACGCAAAACTGGGCCAAGATACAGTCCTTATCATCCTTGACCTGAATACGCAAAGTAAAGTCTGAAATGTCAGTTGAATCGCGTGCTGCGATCATGTAGATGAGGCGGGCCACTTTGCCAAGTTTGATCTGAAATCCCCTCACGGTTCTTGCCTGTTCATTGGCTCTCAGTTCAAAATTGGACATGTTTGAATACACGCCAACCTGAAGGTCTTGAGGTTTTGTTAATACAAACTGGTGCTTTCCCCAGAGTTGGAGGATGACAGGTAGAGTTGACTGTGAGTGCTTTTTCGCGTCACTCACTAGCAACGTCTTTGGGGCACAGTCATGGCCAAAAATGGCCACCACTGTCTTGAAGGACGGGTGGATGTGCTTTGGCCCGTATACCCCAAGAGTGACCTTTTTTACGACATGTTCCCAGACTGTGTTGTATGGGGCCACTGTTTGTGCTTGGGCAACTACAGAGACATACATGCAAGGCTCTAAATTGTCCAGAGTCACTTGAACTGTGTCTCCATACATGTATACATGTGGAATCGGGACATACGGACCTTCCTTGAAGTCGCTTCTCACACACACCACCTCTGTGGTTTTGCGGCTCTCTATCTTCACTACAACAGACACCTTCATCTCTAAAGTGACTGGGGTCTTGGTTTCCATGTTACTGAGTTTTACTTCTACCACTGGACTTACGGTAGTACATCTATCGTTGTTAAGCTCCAACGGTGGGTCCAGAAGGGCTTTCAGTGATATCTGTTGAGTCTCACCCGGTGCAACGTGACCCTCAGGAATATGTATACTGATACTGGTATTTGGCAGCTCCACGGCACCACCAGAACTGTCCAGATTGCATACAATGTTGGTCTCTATTGGCTGGGTTTGGCCCCAACCTGGGTTTTGTCCAATGGAGTCCAGGTCATGGCAGGATCGTGTAAGTTTACGGTGATTTAGCCATGCTGTTTTGAAATCCTCTCTACTTTGATAATGCTCAGGTTTAGGTGACTTCATGCCACCAAAAAAACTAAAAGAACCTTGATTCCCATCAGACAGGGACTGTAGGACAGACAGTTCTGACATGCTGTAGCAGCGCTTGCTTCTAAAAAACGGATTGTCTCTGCGAAAATTTGGGCCAATTCCTGAGCCAGGGCTAATACTTTTTGTGTCACACAGCCCACTTTCAAAAACATTAATATTAATAGTGCTGCTGGTGTTTGAGATGGGAGGTGAGAGATTACCAAAACACAAAGCCTTTGCTGAATTCTGGTTGCTGTTTTGGTCAGGGGTGCCTTGCAGCATGTCATTTAGGAAAGGGTTAGTTGACATACGTTTATTAACAAAAGGATTGTCATTTCTAGATTCTGTGGTTTTGGCAGACCCCGTCCACTCTCCAGAGATATCCATTTCTTTCACTCCCTCAGAAACGTCACTTAGGCTGTCAATCATGCCGCTATCACTGAACGTGGAATCTCGATAATTGATCGGATGGACGTAAGCAGCTGGGATGTATCCCATCTCTTTGCTGTTGTGTGCATACCACCACTCTCCACCCGATGTGTCTATAACATAAAGACAGTCTCCCTTTGAGAACTTGAGTGTGGTAAAGCTGGACGGACAGTAATCCTTAATGGCAATCACTTCCCTGACAGCTCCAAATGAGGCAGTAGTATCCAGTCGCAAGGCACTAGGTGAAGGCCCTTTAAGAAAAAAAAAGTGAATGAGGGTAAAACTAGAAGTTAACAGTACTGTGATTGTGAGGTGAAAATAAGAAAGGAAACCTTTAACATCTGTAAGGGTGGCCTCTGACACTCCTTCACTGAGATCGATGAGAGCACCCTCAGATCTGCAGCGAGGGAGCACAGCGTTGCTGTTCGCTGATCGAATGCGATGGGCAGCCATGGCGTGTATTGCTACCGAACTCCACTTCTTGTCTCAAGCTTTTCTTCCCATGTTTGTTTCAGTGGGAGAGATCAATGGCATTCCATAATATCTGTCACAAATTAAAGGTGAAAGAACATTATAAGTTAGCTTTTTTAATTTCTGCCGAATTTATTCTTTAAGGAAATTTCGGCAACACTTTAGTATAGGGACCAATTCTCACTATGAACTAGTTGCTTGTTAGCATGCCTATTATTAACATATTGGCTGCTTATTAGTACTTATAAAGCACATATTCAGCATAACCATATTCTACATCCCTAATCCAACCTAATACCTAAAATTAACAACTACCTTACTAACTATTAATAAGCAGCAAATTAGGAGTTTATTGAGGCAAAAGTTATAGTTAATGGTTTGTTAATAGTGAGAATTGGACCTTAAAATAAGGTCCAAGATTTGATATTGTTTGCACAATAACACCACCAGAGATGAACGAAGAGTTCAAGAAATTGCAAGACTTATATAAGAATATTCGTAAGTGTAATTCTTCAAAAAAATATTCAGTTCTCAAATATTTTCTAAAGAACATATACATTTTTTTCTAATGTTAATGAACAGTTATGTAACAGTTCTTTTCTGAATAGAATAAGCATTCATCAACAAGGATTACATGCCGTTGACTGTGATCATTTTTTCATTCAGTATTAATCAGTAATTTAATCACAGTAAGATTAGCCATTGTAGAGCAACTCGTACAACTCTTTCCATATCGGTCTATATCATATAAGGCAAATTTCAGTATTATGGCCTCATTCCACTTATCCTAAACCTAAGAGAGCCCACACTTTGTCACTACATGTCTTAAAGGAAGGCTAATAAGGCAGAAATATTTGTTCATGTCCAGACATGTCTACCATATTCGTGACATTCTCTTGAACACTAACAGAGAATAAAAGGCCTTTGTCTCTATGAAGGTTTATACAATAAATTGCCTATATAGACTGAAATCAAAGTTGCTACGTTTTTCTTTTTTTTTTATGTTAATTATTATACTTCTATTGATTTTATTTTATTTTTCAGCAATGACTTATGTTATCCCATGATTGCTTCAAATATTGTGCAAAGTGATTGAATTATTCATTTACAAATAGAAGTTCCATCTGAGCTGCTTTAAGTGTGCAGCATGCAAGCTTAAGGATCAAACGTTGCTTGCATTTAGCAATCAAAATTAGGATAGTGTTTGAGTGCAACTCGGCATCCTCTTAAGTCTGATCATGAACTATAAAGGCTCTCCAGCAATACACATCAGTGGTTTCCATGGCTACCACCTTGGGGAAGAAAGCACACACAGTGAAGCGCCTTTAGAGAAAATGGCCAGCTGTAGCCTACTGGGAATGTCTCTCACAGAACAGTCTGACATATTATTATGAAACTACTAATTATTGTAATCCAGCAGATTATCACTCCAACAAGGTAATAAATGCTATGTTTTTGGACACTTCAATATGTTTAAAACCAGTAGATCTCCACAAAGTCTCACCGTCAGTGAAAGCAAAGCCACTTAAGCCGAATGTTATAAGACTGTTCACATAGAAATACATCATATAAGGAGTAAATATGGGCTTAAATTCTCAGCAAATGGGTAGCAGTCATGTTATACTGTGAAAATAATTATGAGAGACATTGAAAATGATCTGTGGAGTATTTTAGAGATTTGTTTCTTCAGAACTGTACAAAATATGTCTGAAAATGGCATGTTAAAATGGCTGTTGTGGGTACAGCCTGACTTGAAACAGATTTCACTTTTATTTATTTGTTTTTGAGTGTATGGGTGTGTGTGTGTGTGTGTTTATAGGGCTGCAGGATCTGCTCTGTGAAAGACCACAGATTGTTCCACCTTTTGTTTCAGAAATACAGAGGAAATGCCTGTGAAATAAGGATGTGCTGCATTTCCCAAAACTTATATTGCATCATATTATAGCAAACACCTTCAGGGTATGTTAGGACACACCGGTCTGTGGTGTCAAGAGAATCTCTGTGCATATTGTTAAAGTAATTGTTAATGTCATAGACCTTTAGGCATCAGTAAAGACGTTTTCAGGACTGAACTTGTCTTACAAGCATGCAGAGTTTTGAAGCATGACAACTGCTTGACATGGCTTTATACAATATTTAAACAAAATTAATTCCTTAAATACTGCAGTAATGTTTAATGCTGTGCCAAATAAATAGAATTGAACAAACAAACAACACTTTTTTTTTGTCAAGTAGGATATGTACCTTCCAGACAGAGTTCAAAACATTATCTGCACCATGTTTCATTGTATTTGACTGTATATCTCAAAATATGCATGTAGATAACTTATGAGGAGAAATGGGGGAAGAAAATCATGTTCAGGCTGTTTAATTAAACATTAATTCCGCGGAGCTAGTATATATTATTTAAGATGAGCTTCTTAGTAGTTTGACATGAGAGGTTTCCTGAAGGTTTGAGTCCTGATACTAATAAAATCTGCATCAGTTACAGTAACATTGATCAGTCTAAAATATGGCGCAAAAGAAATGTTCTGGCAGTTCTCTAGTTATCTTGCAGTTTTTAGGGCTAAATGCAAGTTTTAAACTGTGAAACAGTAGGTTCAGATTCCCTATAAGATAAAAGACTGTCTCCGGTGGGTGGGTGAACCTCAGACAAGTTGAAACGGATTGTGAAATCCTAGGAAACAGATGAAGACATTCAGAAGACCTACACACTCACACAGCTCAATTTCATGCGAGTTTCACGTGTCAAACAAGTGTCAAACTAAATCTGAAGTGTCAGAAACAGCAGTTGTGAGTTCAGCTGTGAGTTCAACAAGGAAAAGTGGCAACTCAGTGGAAGATAGCGACGCGGACAGCAATAGTACTCCACTAATCGATGAAAAGCCCGATGACGAAATAAACACCAAAAAATATAAATTCTACTTACTTTTTTGAAGATGCAGTCAGTCCTTTGAGTGAGGACCGTTATGCGCGCGTCTCGCTCTCAAGTGCTTCACTTACATTAGGAGAAGCTGCGTGACGTCATCAGCCGGGAGGAGTCCCGCACACAAAACACGGACAATCCCTGTGACTCTTTACAGCTTTTTAACTGCCATAATAATTTATACGCCAAGATTTATTGTGTTAATGTATATAATAATGTATATTTGTTTCACTTTTTTGAGGATGGCATGTTGCATTAGATTAAATTGCGCTGAAAATACAGCTCATTAGTTAATAGTCTGATTTCATTTTAAGACGGCCTCATGTAGTGCCCTAGTTCTGCGAGCTTTCCAAATTTCGACCGCATTTTTGATATACTGGCAATCAGAAGTTGCGACATTAAAATTAGACCTAATCAGCTCATCAAGTTCAACCCCTTTTTGGGACTATGACTAAATATAAATATCTGGCGGCACCTGGTGGGCATTTAACTTATAACCAAGTGGTTTTGTGTCTATATCGTTTTGCCGCAAATGTGAGTGAGTGAGTGAAGTGACATGTGGCCAGGTATGGTGACCCATACTCGGAATTAGTGCTCTGCATTTATCCCATCCAAAGTGCACACACACAGCAGTGAACACACACACACCGTGAACACACACCCGGAGCAGTGGGCAGCCATTTTTGCTGCGGCGCCCGGGGAGCAGTTGGGGGTTCGGTGCCTTACTCAAGGGCACCTCAGTCGTGGTATTGAAGGTGGGAGAGAGCGCTGTACATTCACTCCCCCCACCTACAATCCCTGCCGGTGCGAGACTCGAACCCGCAACCTTTGGGTTACGAGTCAGACTCTCTAACCATTAGGCCACGACTTCCCCCTGTGGCCTACAGTCAAAGAACAGATCTCAATTAATAGTTGATGCATGTTGTTAAACAACAGTTATAGGCTACTATCCATTTGACACACTGTAGGCTACGTCTGTCCCTCACAAACTCATTTTCATTCCTGTCAAAAATTAAATATGGCTCAGTCTACCCTAACTAAGGTCTATGGTTTCAAACTTCCTATTGTAGTTTGTTATAAAGTAGACTTTAAAAACTTTCAAAGTGAAGGCTTCATGTCAACAGCCATCATGACCAGTTTTTTCTTCATTCCTTGTAGTTTGTCACTTGTCAGCTGAATGCTAAGCTGAAGGATCTATTAGGCCTATTATTATTAGAACAATGTTTTATGTTTGTTTTAGAACAAAGTTTCATTGCATTCATATTAATATTCTACAGGTGCATCTCAATAAATTAGAATGTCGTGGAAAAGGCACCTGTATATAATATCATGTTCAATTGTCCTCTATAAATGATTAATTTTAAAATTCTAAATTGTCTAATGTAAGTGAATTTGTTTGACCCATATCAGTCATAATTGGCAACATGCTTTTATGGCTTATGGCAATGGCTGTTTCTGATTCTCATGCCAAATTTACACTGCAGTGTACATTTGATGGTGAAGTGCCATAGGTGTTTTTGCGCAGACTGTTTAATGCTGCTCAGAGGTGGCATAATTGCATTATATGGGTCTGAGGTGGGTCTGAAAAGGCATAATTTATACTAAATTTTGAGCAGGCAAAGAGCCTTTTAACATGGCTGTATAAGACACCTTCAGACAAGGTTTTCTTTTATGGACATGTTTGTCTCAGCTATCAAGTTGCACAGATAGGGTACGACCACAAGATGTCATCCAAAACCAGTTAATAGATAGTTTTTGCTTTTGTTGTTAGCTGTTTATAGTTGTGTGCAAAAAAAATAAAATTATAGTTATTTTGTTGAACAGCCTTTTTTTTTTATTGTAATTACTAGGCTACTAGAACAATGATATTAACATATGTGTGGAATTTGTAGGGTTATTAGAAATATAATCTTAAAGAGCACATGAAATTTATCGCATGTACAGTGGGGAAAAAAAGTATTTAGTCAGCCACCAATTGTGCAAGTTCTCCCACTTAAAAAGATGAGAGAGGCCTGTAATTTTCATCCACACTGGGCAGCTCATTTTTTCCTGTAATTAATTTCTTGCAGGCCAATTTAAGTGAAATCTTGTGTCAAATGTTAATCATGTTATGGGAAAGTGATTTTTTTCCTAATGATTTTCTGATCATCATTATTATTATTATTATTATTATTATTATTGAAATGCTTGTTACTGAATTTAATTAGTTTATACAGGCTTTAAATGAGACCAGTAAACAATATGTAATCAAATAATTTAATTAATATCAATTAATTTAACTGAATTATTTAATCAAATAATGCATATTTATGCAGTGTGAATTTAGCCAGTACAACCTGAAAAGTTTGGGAGCTGAAGGTGTCCTGAGCACTGACATCTCTCTTGAAACAGACACACTATTTCTTTTTTCTTTTTTCTTTTTAAGAGATCAATTAATGAGCTCATTTATAATTAAAGAACATTGATTTTGTGCAGCTGCTCTGATGATTTGAAACACACTTTGTGAAGTCTTTATTTCACATGCTTACCTTGTCAAGCACTTGGTGTCACCCTGCAAGACCGACTAGAAGGAAACAGATCAATGCTCATTGAATATAAATTATGAAATTTCAAATCATTGCTATCTTAGTCTTTCAAATAGGGGTTTGAATGGAAAAGAGAAAAGCTTCACAGATGTGATAAACCACTGGGTCTAGCATGATAACAACCCATATTTATTTCTCTCTCTAAAGTGGAAATATATTGATCTCAATGAGCGATCGTTGAAGCCATCAAAAGTCAAATGCAGGTTTGGTTCTTAAACCCCCTGACGAGTGTCTTTAGAAGTGCTCTGTGAGAGAAAGCCTTTTGATGAACAACAGCGATTGTGTGATTATTTGGAACTCTGAACCAGAATCTTGAAAAGCATATCAACGGTGACAAGAAAAAAAGACAAAAAAGAAAAAAAGTTTGACATTCAGAAGAACAGAAACATATTCATAACTTCAGAAAAATGTGCTCCCTTTCTGATAACATCTGTTGAAAGGATAATTTTGTCAAAGTAATGAAAAAAAGACTTTAAATATGTATTGCCGAAATGCATTTGTGGAATGCACTGCAATTGTGTGAGTAGTCAAATTGCCAGTAGGAAGACCAGAGACCTGCCTGAACATTTATCAGCTATTTACAGAGACAGTAATTAGATTACTAATGACAGTTTTATTTATATCTATTAATATTACATTTTACTGTTGCCACTGGTTAGGTTTTAGTATTACTGTATGTCAGAGCATCCAGTGTGTTTGTAATCGAACTAGAGCCAAAAAGGAGTTGCCGGTTTGTTCTGTCCATGGTTTAATAATCATAGAGCTTATTAACTTGATGCATTAATGTATATCTGTTGGCAGTAATACTCACAGGATTAGATTGCATATGCCTCTCCTTTCCTCTCCTATGGGCTTAGAAAGGAAGTGATTTTCCTCACCAGCTGCTAGAAATGAATCTAATCCCACTTGCTCCAGTGTTGTTCATCTCTGGGGCTCTATTGTCCTCAGATGTTTGCTGCAATCATAAACGGCACCATCTGATTCATCCTACTAGGACCAGTTAATTAGATAAATCAACAGTCCTGCTCAGTTGGAACAAACACCTGTGGACAAATGACTCTAGCGAAACCGCTCCAACAGGAACACATAGAGATTGATTATTACATGCTGCTTCTGTGAGCAGCTGGATGTATAAAGGCAACTTCAAAAGCGGAACAGGCTTAGCGGCTGTCCTGTTTCACATATACAGAGGGGAAAATGAAAGGACATGCAAAGACAATGCTTTACAAGTGCACTTCCTTCTTCTTTCACTTGGTGTCAGCAATGGTTTGGCCAGTTCACTGGTAACATGAATGCACAGTAATTTGCATAAACCTAAAGGTCTCCCAGAACCTACTTATGTATCATTATATAAGAACTGTTTGGTTTTTGTGAATATTTACTACAGCGTGAGAAATAATGTAGCAAACTTAAAGAATTGTAATGATTACAGTTCTGACTCCTCTTTTGAGAAAGAAATATTAATAAAAAGACATAAATACAAATTAAATGTTATATTTTAAGAAATTGTATTAACTGCCATTGACCAGAGTACTTTCCAGCATAATGAATACAATATAAGCAATTACATGCATCCACACAAACACAATTAAGTCCTGTTCACTCTAATCAGATCTTCACAGATGGGGACGATTTATTGCGCACTGGAAAAGGGTTCCATAAACCAGGAGCAACCACAGAAAAGGCCCTATCACCCCTTGATTTTAATCTAGTTTTGGGAATATGAAGAATCGTCTGGTTAGAAGATCTCATATGCCTTGTGTTTTGATAAGATATCAAAAGGTCAGCAATAGCCTATATTTCAGTGCAATGCCGTGCAGTGCTTTACATACCAACAACAGAGCATTATAATTTTGTGAAAATAATTCAGTTAATAGAATTATATTAAATAACATCATTGAACAAACAATGTAACAAAAGATATAAATTATTTATTTATGTGAATAAAGCAGCACTCATATTCTATAACTAGGCCTATTGTCAGATGAAGGACCCAGTTATAGAGGTTCCAAATGGGGATTTTCCCAATAATAGGTTTCCATACAAAGTTGCGAATTTAACTTATGCGCAAAACTGGAATATCGTATAAAACATTTGCGAACAAACATCGTTTCCATCCAACAAGTCAAAGAGAACAAAATCGTCACTTCCTGATAAACTGGCACTATAAATCACTAAGAAAAGTAGGACAATATAATAATTTTCATATATAATAAATTACTTGCGCCTCAGAGCGAGCAGACGAAACACAATGAACGCGGTCATTGCTTTCGGAGGTGGATTGGAACGCAGTCGTGTAAGCAGGGCAGGATTCACCTCTTTTCGTGACATAGGCAAAACAAATTTTTGGGCCCCCCTTCCCTATTAATATGTTAGGCCTAATATTACCATCCAAGCAAACAAAAATATTTCTTAATCAGTGGAAACCGTTACAGTGTTTTCTATCGCAATAAGCGCTTGCGTTCAGTCAATAAAAATCGAA